TATATATATATATATAATGGTCTTTAACCCGGCAGATGAGATCATATGTCGTTTCTGAGGGGATTAGCAGTGGATAAGCTCATAGAAGCAGCCGGTGGGATACGTGTAGTGATGGGTAAGCTTTTCGTCCAGTTTAGAATTGTTGGTACATGAAATATTCCCACATTTGATGTGGCTTTGGTGGCGTTTCATAGATCTCTTTATGGGCATTTTGTATCGGTGTATGTAAGAACTTGTTCGAGTGGAGCCATTCTGTGCTGTCCTTAGAGATGGCAGGCCTAGCGTGCAGTCCCAGTGGCTTTTCGTGCAGGGTCCGAACCGCCCTCGTGGCTGCTGCGGCCCTCATGGGCTGTTCTCTAAAGCCCCCTGTTCCTCTTGGGTTCCCACAGATGTCACTTCCCTGTGACTAGATGTCTGTTTCATCAGCCCTCCTTGTCACTGACCTGGCCTTGCTCCCAACGCTCCCAAGAGGGCACCGGCTACACCCGGACGCTGTTCCTGCGGCAGGGGCTACGGGCTGCCGGTGGAGTTCACCTCCGCGGCAGGAATCGCTCAGCTGGGCATTGAACAGAATGAACAGGTGCCATCTCCAAATTTTGCCAGTTTTCATATCTCACTTCTAATTTTCTTGCTTGAGTAATTCCTGTTCCAAAGAAACATGAACTGTTCCCTTCCCTGATCCCAGCCGTTAGCACTGCTGTGGTCCAAAGGACCGGAGCCTCCCTTGCCAGCTGTTCCATACTCACAGTGGCCAGGGGTTCTCTGCAAAGTCTTTAAAAACGATGCTTCTCCAAAGCTACTTTTCTCTCTGTGAGTTAATGTGTGTAGCCCATAAGCTGGAAGTATGTTTTTAAATAAATTTCATTGTGTGTCTGTTATTTGACTGCTAAGATGTTAGTGGATATTTGGGAGACCAGAATGAGGTCAGAGCCTAGGGAGCAGAGATGATAGGGAGTTGGAGACACTGAGTCTACCGTTCCCAGCTCGGTATGGAAATTGAACGAGCCATTTATTCTTCTTGAATTCCAGATATTAACACAAATAAGGAAATGTAATAATAACCATATGAGAATTCATTTTTTTTATAATTTTTTTAAATGTTTATTTGTTTTTGAGAGAGGGAGAGAGAGAGACAGAGCACAAGCAGGGAAGGGGCAGAGAGAGACAAAGACACAGAATCCGAAGCAGGCTCCAGTCTCCGAGCTGTCAGCACAAAAAGCCCAATGTGGGGCCCGAACTCACAGACCGTGAGATCATCACCTGAGCCGAAGATGCTCACCCGATTGAGCCCCCCAGGTGCCCCAAGTTTATTTAAATTTAAAGAGAGAGAGAGAGTGAGCAGGGGAGGAGCAGAGAGAGAGGAAGACACAGAATCCGAAGCAGGCTCCAGGCTCTGAGCTGTCAGCACAGAGCCCGACCCGGGGCTTGAACTCACAGTCCATGAGATCGTGACCTGAGCCAAAGATGCTCACCCGACTGAGCCCCCCAGGCGCCCCATAGAGAATTCATTCTTTATATTTCGTCATGTTTCTACCTGAACTCTTTTATAAAGTTAATTCTGTTTCATCTGGTCCAGCTGTGCGTTTCTACTTGTCTTCAATAGGACATCATTCATCATCCTTGACTGATGAACTTTATAGAGAACGGGGGGTCGGAGGGCGCTGGGGGGGCAGTATGGGAGAGCTGGGGCTTCCTTTCTGCCCATCAGTAACCCACCTGTGTGGAGTTCTGTGGTCCTGTGATCTTCCGCTGTGGGAAGAGAATTTTCAGGTTAGGATGGCTCCGAGAAGACAAATGTGTCCCCTGGTGAGAGGCGGATATCCGGAGCCCTCCTCCTTTCCCTTCCCTTTGTCCACTCCTGCCATCGAGTCATGCTGCTGTCATTGGACCGCTGTGGTGTCCTCCTCAACGGTCTGTCCCCATCTGCCCTGGCCCCTGCGGTTGTGTGCTTGATTGTCCACAGCGATCTCTCCACAACCTGGACCGTGTCACCCCCCTGCTCACATCCTCCACGGTCTGACCTTCTGACTTGGAACAACGGTCTCCCACCTTGTGTCCAGACCGGGCGGCACCCGATGTGCACCAGACTGGCTTGTCGTTTGTTCCTCAAACACCACACTTGTTCGTGACACATCAGGACTTGCATGCCTGTTCATCTCTCTCAGGACTCTCTCGGAGCTTCGTGGTTTTGCCTCTCAAAACACTTTTTACAAACCTGTTCAGCGCAACGTTCGACATGGTTTTCTGCTTTTCCCTGTTAGAATGTTAGTTCTAGAAGAGCAGGGTCTACTTGGTTCATTACTAGAACTGGGCCTGATCCATAGAGACATTCAGAATGTTGGGAGTAAATAAATGTAGTCAAACCCCCTGAGATTACTTACCACGGAATCATCTGTGACATTACGTTGGCCTCGTTGTTGCTTTCGGTGGCTAGGTTATGTAAGGTCGCATCATCAGTACACTTAACCGTGACCCCCACCCCTTCGACAGTTGGTTGTTAGAATGCATTATGAATCAATCATCTATCCCCATTGGGCCTATATCCCACTCGTAGAAAGAAATAAAACGATTCCATTTTACATTAATATTTCCAGACAACCGTGAACGTCTAACTGATTTGTCACTGAGAATGAAAAATAAGTAATTTTACTTATTAAAGGCATTTAATAAAAAAATTGTAATCTGTTATTTATTTATTTATTTGTTTACTTAACAGTAAAATAACTACTGTTAAGTTGTTTTGTCTAAGTTGTTTTGACAGTAACATCTGAATGACAACTGGGTCGTAATCTTTTCAACCCTAAGAGTACCAACGCTACCGTGAAATCCTTTCCAGGGAGAAAATTGGTTCCTTGTGTTTTACAGCGCCCGGTTCTGTTAACATGCCTTGTTTCATAGATTTATGAGCTAGAAAATCTTTTTTGAGACAAAGCTTATTAGAATATTTAGCCAAGAGAAGGAAATGTTGAGATCTATATGTGAATACAGATTGAATGAGATTGGATTATTTCAATCTTATGAAACAGAATAATCGGTTTATTTCATGTTCTATTTCTGTTTAATGAACTTCCCTGTTGAATAAGCAGATAATAAACTCACCCGTTTAGAAGCCCAAATCCAGAAATATTCTTCCTTGAAACCGCAAAATGATTAGGAAACTAGCTCATCAAAAAAATAGGGAGTTTCCTGATCACATTAAGGGGTTTGGAACTTTACATGGCATCTGTTTGGGGTCACAGGAAGGATACACAGAAGTCTCATCAACGTTTTTAAAGTTACTCGTTCTGCCCCAGTAGAGACGTGTTCTTATGAAAAGTAAAACGGTAGAAGAGATCGTTACTGAGGCAAATGGCCTGAAGGAAGTGGCTGATGGGAAATCAAGGAACGTCGTGAGTGATCAGCATCCCAGACGCAGGTCACAGACAAAGCAGGGGCCCCCAGACGTCCAGGAATCGTGCCAACGGGTACCACTAGATCGGAAACTCTGCCAAAGCGACGGATAGGTGTTGGTGCCGTGTGCCCTGGTCGACATGGGCTCTGGACCCAGGGCAGGACTGTGCCCCCCAAAGGGGACCATCTGTGAGCCACAAGCAGGCAGCCTTTAGATGCCACGGATCCCAAAGACTCATTGCACTGAGCTGGCAATGGCCATATCTCACCTGCTACACAGTTTTGTATCTTTCTTCATTATTCGCCTTTTCAAACTTAGGTAATTTGCTTCACAAAAGTTAAAGTCGGCATATGAAAATTCCTTCCTCATTAGCAGTTGGTGTGACCATAGGTGTAGATTTCCTTCAGGGCAAACACACGTCTCTACACCACATCCCTTAAAATTACAGGGCGGACGTCCGCTGGAAGGCTTTAAGCAGTGTTTTCTTTTTCTTCGAGAGGAAGGATGAAACCAACCCATATTTGGAAAAGGGAAGTCAGAGTGTGGGTGCGAAGCCGCGGAGGTCGGGGTCCGCACAGCGCCCGGCGACAGCCCCCCCGCCGCCCAGCCCAGACTCGGGGGACAGACCCGTGTCCGCTGTGGCCTGGTCTCCAGCTGCTCGTGCCTTGGGGACCTCGCTTCACTTCTTTGCACCTCACGTTTCTCTTCCAGAAACAAGAGGATCGGGGTAGATGGTTTTCTTCAAGGTTTCTTTGCCTCGTGCGTTTCCAGAACTCCATGGAAGGTGTGAATCTGGCCCAGTATAAGCTCAGTAGAGGACTTAGGGTTTAGGTACATGCCTGCATCCTCTTTGGTTTCAGCCATGGTACCCAGGCAGCAGGGACACGTGCCGATTCCTTCCCGCGGCCGGTGACCGAGGTGACCGATGCCCTTCCAGTTGGGCTATCACCGCACTTTCGTTGCACTTCCGTCCCTGCCTGCTGGCTTTGTACCGTCAGCTCCCTCCTCCTCGTCACGAAGGAATGCCTGCTTAAAGCCTCTTTTTCCTGAAAATGCAGACGTCTTTCTAGCCTGTCTTGCCCACGCCACGCTGACCCGTTTTATGTTCCTGTGTTCCAGAGACCGTGTCATTGGTTTGATGATGACTGCCTGTGATCTTTGTTCCGTAACAAAACTGTGGCCGGTTACAAAACTGACAGCAAATGATATATATGCAGAATTCTGGGCTGAGGTATGTTTTCGATTTTTATATGAACGCGGAAAAGAGAACAAATTGGACGAGAACGTAAACGTGCGGGTATTTAAGTAACAGTATCTTAGTTGCTCTGGGTGCTGGTTCCTTCGGAAAACCATTGTCAATCACTTGCAGTAGAGGAATTAGCATTTCTGCACAGACACAAAGACATTTACGCAGACGTACAGCCCATTGTGAGTCCCTCAGTGTCACATGCTGTATGTGTCCACACTTGGAAATTTGGGGGATAATTCTCTTGTACCAGAGACGTACGAGTTTCTGCGAATATACCAGATAGTTAATTCAGCTGCAAATTAGGAGTTCTACAGAGCATGTGTGCTTTTAACTCCTAAAACTCCTGATACGTGAAACAACCATGGATATTACTTTAATTCATACCTGTTCTTGACTGGATGATCTAAATTATCAGAAATTTTTATTTCTGATCAAGATATCAGTGTTTTATTTCTCCGTTTTCTTTCTGAATTGTCCACGAGTAAGTGGAATATTCTCTTGTTCAGATGACTCCACAAATAGCTAGGCCCCTGCATACTCAAAGATTACAGTGAGGTGGGGGGAGTGAAACTAAATCTTCGGGTACCTCATTTGGTTGGAAGAAGTAAAATTAAATTTGAAAGGCGGAGAGTTTGGTAGTTGTTGATTCAAACCTTAGGCCTCACCCGTATGAAAGAATGGTTGTAAAAAGTAAAAACCAGAAAACCATTCAGTTGAAAATTTAGTAGAAATGATTTATGACATTAAATTGTTTTCATGATGGCAAAGAGAAAAATTTTTGCTGCGTGAGGACCGCAGGCCTCGAGCTGATTATACTTGTGTTATTTTTCCAGAATGCCTTACACATTGTGCATACACACTCTTGCGTGAGGTACATTCGGTAAATACCACATGAGGAAACTGGTCTAAAGCTAGCTTATTGTTTTGCAGATAATTTTATTTAACTGATATAACCCATACTTTAATAAGTATATTTGGATTCTAAAACACGAATTAAATGTGACAGATGTGTTACGTAGATTTTTTTCCCTCTCTATTCTGCACTGATGAAACGGTGCAGAGAGATTGACCAAGCTCCCAGTGTGCCCAGGAACACCGTCTTCACGGACCTCGTAGTCCATGAGAGGAGACGGATGTCGCTGCGTCTTGCCTGTTGACCTCCCTGGGGTTCGCTAGGTCCACTCTCTGCCCAGCACCCACCACGCCTCCCCGCTCCAGGACTTGGCCGCTCTGCGCCCAAATTACCGCAGCGTTCTAACCAGAGTCCTTGCCTTTTCGCTTGGAGTCAGAATAGCAGTGACTCAGAGTGTGGTCATTGATGTCCTGCTGCTTGAGATGAAAATCCTGCTTTTGTACTTGGGGATGAAGCCTCAGGCCAGCCCCCCACCTAGCCCCGTGCCTCAGTTGCCCCTTCTGCGGGCTAGTGGCCACGTTAGCGCTGTTGGCAGTCTGCCCCCACGTGCCGTTGTGATAAAGACCGAAAGCACGGACTTCATCTACATGGACCACTGTCCCTCCAGACTATGCCACGTCTCAACCTGTCTGGACTCCCTGACCCAAGGCCCTCTCGTCGCCACCCAGGGCGGCTTCCCTGGCCCCGCCCTGCCCTCTGCAGCCTTCCTGGGCAGGCCTTGCTCTAGGGACGGTCCTCATTGTGTACCTTCCACAACACTCTGTTGTTTTCCTGGTTAGCATTTATCTTGGTCTGGGAGTACAGTACATAGTCAGGTCACTGTTTAGTCGAGATCTGTTCACGTACTGCACTTGTGGTATCCTCGAGCAAGAGGCCTGGCTAGCTTCACTCACTCAGAACGGAAAACAAAAAAGTTTGAGAACCCCTGACGTTAACGTTTAAAAGCGACCACACTATCGCAAAAGCTGTGCTCACGTGCCTTCATGTTGTTAGCACAGCTTCCTTTGTCCTGTACCTGGAAATCTTCATGAGGGTCATAGGTATTTATTTCTGGACCTTAGCAAATCTAGGATGGTCTTAGTTCTGTGCATCTGACTTCTAAACGTAAGCATGATTGCGAAATAATTAAAATAATCGAATAATTAAGAAATGTGAGGGACATGGGGTAGTAAGGAAAAAGTTGGGATGTATTAAGAAAGATTTTAATGGTCTTTAACAAATAACTAAAAAAGAGGGAAAGAATTTTTAAAATCTATAAAATGGGGACAATAATTTCTAACTCCCTAGTATTCCATGAAGGTTGAATGAAAGAATAGCCACAAGTTACCTACCCCAGAGGCTGCGACACAGTCAATCTTCAATATAAACATCTGTGATTATAACCTTTGCCATGCTTACAGCCAGTTACACCGTTCTAGCAGGCTCGTGTTTATTCTTGATATACAACATTTCTCTCTAGAGCCTCACTCCGTCCAGTTCAACACACACGAAGACTCCCTTGAAACGTAAGTGAGGAGAAGGCCACGAGATCTGTTCCAGGCTCTGTTGGCCATCACTGGGCCTCCCTGGTTACTCTGCTCCTCTTGTCATACCTGTCACTAACTCGCACACAGCGGAACCAGAACAGACGGCATCAGGATAGACGCCAAACAATGATACGTTAAGTTTTTGTTTTGACACTTGCGTGGATCAGTAGCCAGAGTGTTATCCATTTTGAAGGAAATTAATGCATAAAGGGAACTCGTTAATGTCAGAACTTTGTGACCATTGATAAGTTGAGCAATCTTGGCTTTCCCTGTTTATCTTAGGGTGACGAGATGAAGAAGCTGGGAATACAGCCCATCCCCATGATGGACAGAGACAAGAAGGACGAGGTCCCACAGGGCCAGGTATGGGTCCTGCTGGAAGGTCAGATAACGTGAGGCGCTCCCAGAGTCATCCGTGAATAAAAAGTATCCACCGTCCTGCAGAGCCTAGGCCCGGAAATCTTCTCTACTCAGGTGGAGTTTGCGGGTAACAAGACCAGGGTCAGGAAGTTCTAGTTGGATTTCAGGAATCCACAGCTGCTCCTGCCTTCAGTTCTTGCTACAGATCTGAGCGCAGTAATCAGTGACTTGAAATAGAGGAATGGATGGATTTGAGTTGTTAATATTTTTAACAAGTAGAAAACCTTTCGTCATTGTGCAAAGGTATCCTTTAGAGAGAAGCGTTCTAGGTTTTGATCAGGTCCTCTCCTCCCAACAAGTAACGCACAGTGTTCTAGTACATGTTGGGTTTTCTCTTCCGGTCAGTTGACATTAATTAATATTTTTTCAGGTCTTACCGCATGGTTGATGTCAGTTTTGTGATGTTTTAACAGCTCTGTGCCCTGTCAGTTCTGCGTGTGTGCATGTGTGGTATAAGGTACTTCTCAGACCCACGGTCTTTCGAAAGTACCGTTCTTCAAACGCCGTCACGAGGAAGTTAGCTGCGGACAAATAATTGTAACCTAGAATTTAGTTTAGAAAACATTTGAGAAAACGCACAGGATGATGGTTTTGGATGAGGTCTCAAGTTTTCCTACTTTACTTAGAGTTAATTTACTATTAATACAGCAGTTCAGGCAGGTCCACAGGTTTCGAAGACGCCAGCACAGAGAAAGGCAAAGGCCCTGTGGCTTTCTCCTCCTCACTGCCTTCCGTCCACGGGGTGCTCGCGTCCTTGGCCAGCTTTGCTGATGGGGGGGCCTGTTGTTCCTTCCTGCTGAACGTGCACCTGGCAGGCCTGTCTCGTGTGTATTTTGCAGTTTAGTTTCTGTTTAATATTGTTTATGGAGCTTTCCCACGTAGGTGCTCCTGAGACCTGTCTGCCCTCCCTGGCCTCTGCTCATCCTGTCCTGTCCCACCATGTGATTAAGCATTTGCCTCTGTTTTCTTTACTCACCCTATGTTTCATGGCTTTCTATTTGATTTGTTAATTCCTCTGAATCTTATCTTGCTACAATGGCTTAAGATAGGGATCTGACAAAGTTCTTTTTTTTTTTCTTTTTCAAATTTTTATATAAATTCTAGTTAGTTAACATACAGGGCAATATTGGTTTCAAGAGTAGAACCCAGTGATCCATCACCTACATCCGACACCCAGTGCTCATCTCAACAAATGCCCTCCTTAATGCCCATCACCCATCTAGCCCATCCCCCACCCACACCCCTCCAGCAGCCCTCAGTTTGTTCTCTACCATCAAGAGTCTCTTGTGGTTCGTTTCCCTCTCCTCTTTTTTTCCTCTTCCCCGTGTTCATCTGTTTTGCTTCGCAAATTCCACATAAGAGTGAAATCATATGATATTTGTCTCTCTGTGACTTACTTGCTTAGCGTAATACATTCTAGCTCCATCCACGTCATTGCAAATGGCAAGATTTCATTCTTTTTGGTGGTTACATAATATTCCATTGTGTATATAAACCACATCCTCTTTATCTATTCATCTGTCGATGGACATTTGGGGTCTTCCCATAAGTAGGCTGTTCATAATGCTACTATAAACATTGGGGTGCATGGGCCCCTTTGAATCAGTACTTTTGTATCAATGATATATCTGATAAAGGGTTAGTATCAAAAATCTATAAAGAACTTATCAAATGCAACACCGAAAAAAAACCAAATAATCCAGTGAAGACATAGGCAGAAGACATGAATAGACATTTTTTCCAAAGAAGACATCCAGATGGCTAACAGACACATGAAAAGATGCCCAACATCACTCATCATCAGGGAAATACAAATCCAGACCACAACGAGATATCATCTCACACCTGTCAAAGTGGCTAAGAGTAACAACACAGGAAACAACAGGTGTTGGCAAGGATGTGGAGAAAAAGGAACCCTCATGCACTATTGATGGGAATGCAAAGTGGCACAGCCACTCTGGAAAACAGAATAGAGGTTCCTCAAAAAGTTAAAGGGGTGCCTGGGTGGCTCGGTCGGTTAAACATCCCAACTCTTGATTTCGGCTCAGGCTGTGGTCTCACAGTTTATGAGATTGAGGCGTCTGACTCTGCCGTGACCACACTAGAGCATGCTTGGGATCCTCTCTCTCTCTCTCTCTCTGCCCCTCCCCTGCTCGTGCTCTCTCTCTCTCCCTGAGTAGGTAAACATTAAAAAAAAAATTTAAGTTAAAAATAGAGCTACCCTACAATCTAGCAATTGCACTGGTAGATACCTACCTAACAGAGTTCTTTCTGGATAGTTAAGCTTTCGTCCCAGCCGAAAGCCCAGGATGGCTGAAGGTGCCGTCGGAGAATGGACCGTGTTCCAGCACCATTGAATTAAGGGAAGAGTTTGGCTTTATGCCAAAATTGCCAAACCCATTTACAGTATGAGTTTGAGTGCAGATAGTCTGCACAGCAGCAGAAGGCAGAAAGTAACCACCAAGGAGAGTCCGCTCTTCTGTACCTTGGGTGCATCTCATTGAAGTTCACTTTTTTTAAAACACTTTGGTAAGCCCTGGTTTGGGGGGTCACCTCATTCAAAGAGGCAGTCAGATCTGGTGATAATTGTAGCTAGACCCTCTGTGTTCCCTGCTAACAGTCTAAAAGGTCTTTTTCATCCAGCCTTCAGTAGGCCAGTCTGGGCTGGAAGCATTTATTTCTACTGTGGCCTGAAATTCCTAATAAAATGTCCCTTAATATATTTTTTTAAGTGCCAGAGATCAAAAACTGAAATCTGGCATATTAAAAGAACTGTAACCTGAGAAGAACTGTGATACAGTCAATGAGATTTGTTGTAGGTCAAAAAAAAGGGAGGGAGATTAAGAACGTCTCAGGAGACCAAACAATGCACCAAAGGCCAAGGGTAACAGACCCACAAAACACCCTGTGCTGATTCCCCAATATTAAGTTATAAAGAGGCCTCCATGTAGAAAAATAGCAGGTTTGACTCTGAAATGTCTGTGGTAGAAAACTAACTTTCTGGGGCGCCTGGGTGGCTCAGTCGGGTAAGCATCCGACTTGGGCTCAGGTCATGATCTCTCTGTTCCCAGAGTTCAAGCCCCGCATCAGGCTCTGTGCTGACAGCTCAGAGCCCGGAGCCTGCTTCGGATTCTGTGTCTCCCTCTCTCTCTGCCCCTGTCCCACTGGCGCGCGCTCTCTCTCTCTCTCTCTCTCTCTCTCTCTCTCTCTCTCTCTCAAAAATAAATAAACATTAAAAAGAAAAAAAAAAAAAGAAAACTATTTTTTGACCAGCAACAAGAACAGTACTTGAATTGATAACTTGACTGATCCATAAATGGAGTCTCACTGGCTGTTGCCCTTGGGTTTCAGTTTAACTTCTTTTCCTGTGTGTTATTTCAAAAACTACTTTAAGGCATTTCGAACGCCCTCCGCAGCGGTATTCGCCGAGCCCAGATATCACAGAGCAACACTAGAACACTTAATTCCGTAGTTAGGCTTGAGAAGTGGGAAAGTGGAAGCTTCGCTTGAGAAGTGGCATCTACTAGAGTCGCTAACGTGCGGTCTTGTGTCTTCTTGTCCGTGGCTCTGCACGGGGGCAGCTGGGCTTCTACAACGCTGTGGCCATCCCCTGCTATACGACCCTCACCCAGATCTTCCCGCCCACGGAGCCTCTCCTGCAGGCGTGCAGGTACGTACCGTGGCGTAAGCTGGGATGTTAGTCTTATTTTATTTTATTTTTGGGGGGGGGGGCATCAGTTTTAAAAATGACTAAGACTCCATATAGGATTGTTCTGTCCCATCGGCGTGTGTTGTGTCTTCCCGAAGGTTTACAATGAACGTAATTTTATGGGCCGTGTGTTTTTCTAAGTACCAAGTATATGTTAAGGACATTCATAAAGTCACGCAACCGCCAAAAAGGAGCCAGAAGGCGTGTGGCTTGGGATTTGGTTTGTTACGACCCAGGGATCTATGGCCAGTGTGTGTGTGAAAAGACAGGGGCCGTGCTGTGTGTTCGAGGCTGCTTGTGGGGAGGGGCTCAGCCTCAGTCACACAGCTTATTAGGCACATGAGGAGCGGGAACCAGCGTGGGATCTTCTTTCTCGGGGAGTTCTGTCTTTTCCCCAGAAGAGCTGTAAGCCGACTGTCACCCACCCTGACCTCAGATGTCTCTGAGCCCCTTCACCGTCGCTCGCTTTTGAGGGATGAGCTCAGCTAAGGACATTGGAATTTTTGTAAGATTTCCATTTGACTTCGAGAAGAAGTCCCCTGTGGGGATGTCAAAGGGCTATGAGCAGAGCGGCCATACGTGCTGATATTCTGCACGTGAGCTGGTGTCCAGCCGATTTCCCTAACAACTTAACCATGAAGCACCCTGGGGCTTGGGGTGGGCACACTGAGCGGGGGGGGCGGGGGACTGCGTGGACAGACTGATAGTTTTACACATGAACGTAAGACATCCCAGCCTATTTTGTTGAACCGTCAGACGTTCAGCAGTGGTTAGTTTATTAAAGTATTATCTTTTTACATCAGGACTAAGCCCTGTGGACAACAGGGAGTTTGAACTAGGACTCAATCCTGATGGGATCAGTTGGAAAAGTCAGTGCCCCACCAAAGAGAAATCACTCAAAATCCAGGTGATTAAAGAGAACCTAGGCAACAGTCCAAAGTCTTTTCCTATCTAAACACTATCTGTGTTTTATGCTAAATACTTAGAACCAACAGAAGGGACTACTTTCTATTATATTATTATCACCATCACGGTCAACACTGGGATTCTTCTGTCTCGGCAGCTTTGACGCATTCTTGCTTCGTTGTACTTGGCTGGACCACGTAATCCGTTAAAGGCCATTTTAACCTTCTCAACACTTAAAAAATTCATCATGTATCACTGGTGTCCGAGGAAAGAGCAAAATTAGTATAGGCCTTTTTTCCGATGTGTCAAAAACCCCCTTTAGGCTCCGGGAAAAAGTCATGCGATAATGTGGCACAGAAGGTAAAATGTTACAGTTTTCAGGTTGTGTTTTTAGAGACTGCTTTTGTCCAGAGGCGTCTTCCCGTGCGTGTGCTCTGTATGAATTGTGTGTCTCATGTGGACTTTGTGTAGAAGAAAGCAAGCTGCAAGGCGGGAGATGTTGCTAAGATCTCTTCCCGGTTAACCACGGGAGGCAGGATGTTGGTCCCGCGGTGGTGGCGGCCACACTGTGCCACACTGTTCCGGAAGGTTGAGGGGCAGTGTCTGCAGCATTGAGCTGCAGATGCAGAGAGAGAAGGGCCGGGGGGGGG